CGTATCTAATCACATCCTTATTTTGCTGCCTCTAAGTTTTCGCAAACTTGTTTGTAACAAGCCTCAAGGGCACAGCTGCATCTCATCAAAGTCAAACACAGCCTCATTTATTCCCACATCAGTTGACATGCTTTTTTTTTTCTTTTCAGCCATTACAGAAGCAATTGAAATCCCACAATTTATTGGTTGCAGTTACCTTACATATGATAATCCAGATATACTGAAAAGGTAACGTATCTCCTGTGAACATAAATGATTGTGCTGTTTGTTTACCATTATAATGCTAGGAGCCTCATGTGGGAGGAGGATGTATATTTAAGTGTTTTTAAGCTGTATTTGCCGTATTTGTAAGTTTCAGGAAAAAATACATTTTCTATGCATATGCTTATGGCTCAATTTGTTATAATATCCAAGCATCTTGCAACCTTTAAAGAAATGGCATGCACAGCATATATCTGACATGGAGAAGGAGTGGTGCGAGCTTTGAGAACAAACAACAGACATACAGAGCCCATATCCATGAAGAGACTAAGGATTTTAACTCCTGCTTTAGCCTAAAATTTAGGTCCTCAAACTTCTTTTTGGCTGCTCTGTACCCTAGAAGATGCCCAAGTTCCAGCAAATTTTGAGTTCTTCCAAAAAATTCCTCCATCTGCCTGTATTTCAGCCACTGCCTAGGAAAGGCTTCGCAAATGTCCTCACCTGCAGCTCAGTACCTCTCACCTACCAGGACTTTCTGATTTGCCCTTTTTATGTTTCTTCCACTGGCTTCTGAGGGCAACAAACTTACTGGATATTCTCAAAATTTGCTTGTTAGACTGGATTTCACAAAAGGCTTGGGGAGAAAAAGTATTTGCTCTTATTTGTGTGGAGTAACCCAGTAGCTATTGTGTTTGGGATTCTGGAGGGCCAAGTTCAATTCCCCCACTCTGAAATGCTGGAAATGGGCATGTGAACCGGAATCCCTCACAAGTCAGCACGTAGGTGAGTTGCAAGACAGTAACCAGCAAGACCAGCAGAGTCTGCCATCATCTTTTAGGCTTGTTTGAAAGAAGATTGTCCTAGTTCAATATTTTACTATTATTTCCTTCTTTTAAACAGGGTATCAGGATCAAGAATGAATGTGTTCATGAGGTTTAAAACCACAATGAAGGAAGGTCTTTTGATGTGGAGGGAGACAGTCCCATGCAACCTAACAGTGATTTCATTTCTCTAGGCCTTCAAGAAGGAACATTAATATTCAGGTAAACTATTACTTCCTTATTTTTATTGCACGCAGTACATTCAGTGCTTGAAGGAATCGCCACAACACATCTAGTGCACTTGTCCTTTGGTATATTGCAAGACAATTACAACCTCAAGGTTTTGTTCAGTGATAGGTCCTGGTTTTGTTTGGGAAAGGATGTGAGCTGAAGAGGTAACATGCTGACAGATTTGCAAATGCATCATTCCTTCTCCCTCCCCCCATACAAATTCTTAAAACATCAGATTTTTAGCATGGTTTTCTAAAAGTCACCCTATGAGGGTATGAGTACTGTCAGTAACTCCCCCATGCCTCTTGAAGCACTTGCCATCTCAGTTAAGCAGAACAGGTGTAGGGTTTGCAGAGAGAGCAGGGGTCAAGGAAAAACCCTGCTTATGCCCATGCTCACTGTAGGCTCACTCTTCATCCGGCACTGGAGAGTGCACGTGGAAGCAGAACTCCCACCTTCTCAAACCCCAAAATATCCAACCCTGTGACACAAACCCAGATGGCACCAGGCTTTGCTACTGCCAACACCCACCGAACCACTTGTTTAAGAAACAAATAATATTAGTGTCAAAAAGCTGAAACTGGGGAGTGTTGGGAAATAGCTGAACTTGTGTTCTCTCTCTCCAGAATCACTTTCTCCCTTGCAGACGCTTAGGCAGACTCCATGCAACTTTTTGCATGGTGCTTTTTGGGACTCCTGCCTTTTGAAAGCCATATCTTTCCTCATGATCCCCTTTTAGGTTGTGTAAGACAAATATTGAAACAGCAAGCTACAAATGCCATCATTATTACAGATTGTTGTGAGATACTGTTGATTAAATTACAATGATTTTGTTAATCATTTAAGCTAATTTGAAGCTACCTTTTATTTGACTTACCTGGTGGTTGTTTGCTACCATGGACACATAAACCAAGTTGCACATTTCTATTTAACTTAATTTCTTTAAAGCTGTTTTCTTGTGGTTTCTTGTGGTTAACTTTGCAAAAACTCTTAGCTTCCTCATTGTTTTACAAACTAGGAACTGACTCTGCAGAAATAGTGCATTTTGTAAATGTCTTTGGGAGAGCTTGTTTTTCCAAGATGTTGGGTAGTAAGTGGCCAGTCTATTCTGTCTGTTTTCGAGGCACAGTGCATTTTTATTAGGGTCATTGGTATCCCCAAAAGACAAAAATACACAAAGGTTTTAGACTGAAACAGCTGAATTTTATTGAGATATCTGTACATTCCACACGCATTTAGGAAGGTGTAAAATTAAGATTCCCAAATTAAAGGGAGCACTGAAGAAGATAGTGAAAGGACAAATCCAGAAAAAAAAAAGTATCATCGTCTTTCAGAAAGAGTGACCCTCATGTTACTTTTGCAACTTTTGAGAGGTCAGGTCAGGAGAATATCCAGGGCTGTGAACTTGAATTGGTCAGAAGTATTTTCCTGTCCAAAATACATTATCTGTGTTCTGGTCCAGTTTGAAATTCAAAACACACCTTTTCTTTCCTGTGGCTTAGCAGAGTAGGTTCCCTTTACAGCGTAGCTGCTGCTGTAAATCCTTTATGTTGTTCTCTGCTTCTGTAGAAGGCTATATCACTATTGTAGGGGATCTCCATTCATTAGGGATATGAATCTAATTTTTTTATCCAAAGGTCTAACACTTAGATACAATCCTGAACACCCAAATCCTTCTGTAGCTCTCAACCTAGACTGGTATCTACATCCTGGGTAAAAGGAGATGCTTGTTTGAGACTCACTTAAGCCTCTGGGGAGGAGTCAAATTTAGGACAACTGTTTTGCTCTGGGCAGCTCACGACTTAACATGCTGTTCTCAAGTACCTAACCCTGTCCATGAATGTAATTCCAGGTTCAGTCTTTTCTGAAGAGATGATGATGTTGGCTTTAAACTCTCAAGCTTGGTACAGGCAGGGGGCCAGCAGCAGCAGCTCAGGCTAATTTATCCTGCTTATTTAGGCAGCTGAGCACCCAATAGCTCACTGTGTTGTAGCATCTACCTTCTCTTCGTGACAGTTGGCCCAAGTGTCTGGGACCCAAAAATTAAGATGCCTGAAGTGTAAACATGATGGGGGCGTTATGTCTGCTGAGTAATTTTAATAGCAGTAAACACAAAGAAATAATGAGATACAGCTGAAGCAGAGAACTTCATTATTATCTTTTCGTTTACATCATTAAGCTTCATCCTTTCTAACATCACAGGTCTCAACCTTCCCTATAATTCAAATGATTTGTAGATCTGTTATAGGTCACATGCTTATTTGCTCTTGTAATAGTTTATTTATTAACCATGTTTGCAACCTCCCACTCCTCTCTACCATTAATCGTAGCTACAATTTGGGCAGCGGTATTGCTTCCATAATGGTGAATGGCTCTTTCAGCGATGGCCGGTGGCACAGAGTCAAGGCTGTTCGGTAAGTGGCCACGCTTCATCTCAGAGGTGTTTTGGAGACATCCTGCCATTAAAGGTGCTGGCTGGGATGGATTAGGAGTTGAACTGTTAGCAACTTGTCTGTTTCAGGGCGATGTACACAAAGATTATTGTATTAGAGGTGACAGTGTCAACTCTGAAACTTAGCGCAGCTCAAAACAGGCTGCCAAAGTCATGCAGGACTATTCTGAGGCTGTGACAGACATTCTCTTAAACCCATACCTTTTTGGGTTAAGAGTCTTTTTCTTTAATGTCTGCTTTTTGAAATTCCCTAGTGAGCATTTTGCAGGCTGGCACAAGCACTGGAGCACAGACAGTGTATGCCTACTTTTTCTATTTGGAGGAGGTGCAGACATCTTGCAGTGTATATATAACTCATTTATAACTCATTACCTCATGGGAGGCAAGTGTGCCCAGCAAGGAAAGCATGCATCCCTCTCTTCATGAGATGTCAGTTCCCTGGAAATCACAGACTGACATTAGCACAACTTGTCACCAAATTCAGTGAGAATAGGAGACCACCAAGTGGCTCTTCTTTCAATGCACTTATTGACCATTTATAAAATGGAAGTGGCCTAAAAGCTCTAGTAAGAAACAAACCTTTTGAGCAGGACACTCCTTAGAAGCATGTTTTACCTTAGCTTTCCTATTTGTTCCCTTGTTTAAGCTTCTCCTGTTTACTTTTTATATTACGCCTGATCTTTATCTCAGAACCTGTCCGTCCTGCCCTCTCCCCCAGCTGTGCAATTTACTTCTTTCCCAGTTTTTTTCTCCTCCAGAAATGTGTCCCCCACCTTTTGCAGGTCTCTGACATATTAGTCCCTGGAAAAAACCCTGAAGGGTCTGGATTGCCATAGCACACTGCTATCTGTGGGGCTCCCCAACATCAGTCCCAAGCCTTCGCCGTGAACCCTGCCAAGCACTGAGTCACCCTGGTCTCCTGGCAAGGGGGAGATGCTGCTGCTCCTCCTCCCGCCTGGTTATAGGCTGGATGCATGAGAGTGGTTTGGTTTTCGTTTCAGGGATGGACAGTCTGGCAAAGTAACCATGGATGATAATGGTGCCAGAACCGGAAAATCCCCTGGAAAGATGAGGCAGTTAAACATCAGTGGAGATCTCTATGTAGGTGAGTGCTCACCGTTCACATTCAGGACCCAGACGCATTTTTGTGTTTGCAAGGTTGGCTGCAAGCTGGGGCATCCCAGCTCCATCCATCTCAAGGTGAAGGCTTCATGCAGCAGCCTCTGGTCCTCCACAGCCTGTTTTTTGTGGGGAGGCATCTCCAGGCAGGATGAGGGGACTGTGGTATGAGAAGGGGCCAGCACCATGGGGTGCACTGTGGTACCCCCAGCAGGTACATAGAGAAACAGCGAGTGTCAGCTGCAAGCCCTGCACCTTAGTGGGTATCTGGGCACAAGCTTATTCAGCCCTTACCAATACTACAATTTCTGCAATAAATAATTAGCATTCTAGTTTATTATCTCCTGCTTATCCCTTCTGTACTTTCAAGTGCTTAAAAGCTGTATTTAAAAACCACAGAGCAATCTGTAAATTAAAATTCACTTCTGAGGTGTGCTAGGAAAGCTAATGGTGTTGCTGGGCGTGCAGTCTGCCAAGCAGAAACAGACACCTGTGTCGGTGAAGAGTTTTTCATCACTGCCTTTCCCCCAGGTGGCATGAAGGAAATAGCCCTGCACACGAACAGGCAGTACATGCGGGACCTGGTGGGGTGCATCTCCCACCTCACACTTTCAACCAATTACTACATCTCGCCGGTGGAGGATGCTGCCAACGGGAAGAACATCAACACGTATAGGACCAAGTGACAAGAGAGGAATCCCGGTGCTGAGGACCCATCGTGTGCTTGCGTGTGTGGCCGAGCGCGAGCTGGCTGCCACAGCCCTCTACGGCCAGCCCACGTTCACCATCTGGGAAGGTGACAGAGCCAAAGGGAAACCCTAAAAAAAAAAAAAGAACATTTTTCCCTCTCCTTTCCTCTGCTGACCAAACCAAAATGAGTATTCTGTGTAGGAACCGTCCCCTCTACCCATTAAGTGTTTAGTGAACTCTAAAGATTGTGCATCATTGCAAATGGAAAAAAGAAATGTGTGATGTTATGAGTAGCTCAATGACTGTGTTGTGGTCCATAGATTATCTTTTGTAATATCAGAGAGAGCAGTCTTGAAACACCTGCATTCATTCCACCCTGCAATGGTACAATGACTGTATTGTTCAACAAATACACCATCAGGCAGTGTATCTATGCATTCAAATGTATGTCCTAAAAGTAGTTCTTCTTACCACTCTGATTTAGCTAAATTATGTTTCATTCTGTGTAAATAAAAGCTATAGTGACTGGTTTCAAAATACTGTTGTTTTTTGAGGAGGAAAGTTCTTAAAGTCTACTGTTTTATTACAAGCAACAAAATCAATGAACCAATTTTGTAGAAATAACTTTGTACTTGTATATTTTTTTATAGCAGCAGCAGATCTGCTTACATGGTATAAACTTTAAACATTTAGGTGTACTATACAGTTAGCCCTTTGCACACTTATCTAAAAATAGCGGTGACCTGTGGTTTCAGTTTGTTATACAGGAGGCTTAATGTCTGTATTATATAGTTTTGGTGGAGATATTTGTGAGTTATAACCAGTTTTAAATCTGACTTTTTTTTTTTTAATTTTGACAGTTTAAAATTGTACATTATGAAGCTTTCCTGGCTTAAACAGATTAAAAGATTAGGGAAAAAAAGAGCAAATGCTTGCTGCTGTGGTATTTTAAATCACTATTTTTTTTGCTGAAAAATGAGAAAAGGGATGTGCAAGAGACCTTGGTGGGTCACAGTCCTCTCAAAATGTTTTCTAGGCACTGGACCAACACTTATGCAACCTTGATTGCCAAACACTTAATTTAAGCAGGTGAACAGAGTGTTCTCGAGACACTAAGGAAATTATCCAGACTTTCATAGTTTGGAGATTTTTCTTCCTTAACTCTTTGTTTGAAGTGGAACAGTGAGCTATAGGGGGATGTATTTGGTTTACGTGGCAAGGTTTTGGTAGCGGAGGGGCTACAGGGGTGGCTTCTGTGAGAAGCTGCTAGAAGCTTCCCCTGTGTCTGATAAAGCCAGTGCCAGCCGGCTCCACTGCTGGCCAAAGCTGAGCCAATCAGCGATGGTGGTAGCGCCTCTGGGATAACATATTTAAGGGGGGGGGGGGGG